AGCTGTGGTTTTATTTCTGCTTACGCATCTTTCCACATAGCTTTACCTCACCCAGTATCGCCTCATTCTCGAACCCGACCGACCGCCGAATTCGAGCTCGACTTCACCTCTCGCTCTATCCCTCTCGCCGAACCCGAATCCAGCGCTTACTCCCCCACCGCACCCACAACCGCAAACTACCCTTCATCTATCCCTCTCTATGACATCGACGTCGCTCGCTTCGTAGCAGAGACTAGAAATGCCGGCCAACCATCGCCAGCCGGCAGCTCAGACGCCAGCGTCACCGAATACAAAGTCCACCGCGAGATACACAAACAAGGATGGCTCCAAGATCATCACCGTCCCGAAAGGCCCTCCCTCCGCCGAACCCTCGCAACCCTCTACTCCGACCTCGTCGGCAAAGGCGCCCAGCGTCCAGACCCTCGATACCAACGGTGCTGACCCCTCAGCGCCTACTGTGAATCGAAAGAAGCAGAAGCGTCGGGCAAAGGCTGCCGCCAAAGCTGCTGCCGAGCAAGCCGCTGTCCAACCACCAAACGGACGTCGCCCGAGTCCTGCTCCTGGTGCGCCCGCGCCCAAACCCCAGGTTGCCCAAGATGACGAGGATCAGGAGTCCAGCGACGACGAGCCCGAAGACCATCACTCTATCGACGACCGGCCCCATGCCAACGGCTTCTCCGCGACCAAATCCAAAAAGTCCAAAAAGAAGAAGAAGAAGAACGGAAAGAACCCGCAGCTGGCCAACAGCCAGTACGACAGTGTTCCGTTTCCTCATTCTCACTCCCACTCGCCATTGACGCCCCGTGGCCCTGGTATCTCCAAGGATAAGATCTGGAACACCAGCTCGCAGGAGGAGCGGGAGCGCATCAAGGAGTTCTGGTTGGGTCTCGGCGAAGACGAGCGCAAGTCGCTAGTCAAGGTCGAAAAGGACGCCGTCCTGAAAAAGATGAAGGAGCAGCAAAAGCATACATGCAGCTGTACTGTTTGTGGCAGGAAGCGCACCGCCATTGAGGAGGAACTCGAAGGCCTGTACGACGCTTACTATGAGGAGCTCGAGACCTTTGCGAACAACGGAGAAGGACCGCATATTCTGCCCCCTCACCGCGAATTCCCCTTGCGACCTTCACGCATTCCGTCATCCTACACAGGCCAACCACCGTCACGCGGCCGTATAGTGGAACATGTAGGCGACGATGACGACGAGGAGGAGCCAGAGGAGGAGTACAGCGACGAGGATGAGGATCTCGAGGAGGAGGAGGAAGAAGAGGAAGACGAAGAAGACGACGAGTACAACGACGAAGATGAACCCCCCGAAGATACTCACCCTCACGATCGAGACGTTGCCGACTTCTTGACGTTTGGGAACAGCCTGCAAGTCAAGGGTATGCAGCTTCTGGACTCCCTACTCTGCAGATATGGTAACATGGACTTAGGCGGCATACTCACCGTTGCGGATGACCTCCTCAAAAACGACGGCAAGCGTTTCATCGAAATGATGGAACAGCTCGCCGAACGCCGCATGGCCCGAGAAGAGGACGCCAAGGAGCACTTCTCTCGCGGCTACGCTCATCCCGCCAACGGCTCTTACTCGAATCATAACCATCCTCCTCCCGAAGACGACTATGACGACGAAGATGAGGAGGAGGATGAGGACTATGATGACAGTCAAGAAGAGGAATACGAGGATGAAGAAGTGAGCTCCTCTCAATACACATATGACCATAAACACTCGAGTACTGAGCATTACTGTTGTCATCATCAGGACACGATGACCGAGGAACAGCGCATGGAAGAGGGTCGTCGCATGTTCCAAATATTCGCCGCTCGAATGTTTGAGCAACGGGTCCTGACAGCCTATCGAGACATGGTCGCCAAGCAACGCCAGCAACAGCTCATCGAGGAACTCGAGGAGGAAAATAGGCAAACCGCTCAGAAGAAAGCCAAGAAGGCCAAAGAGAACCAGAAGCGCAAGGACAAGGCCGCGTTGAAGAAACAGCAACAGGCCGAGGAGAAGGCGCGGAAGGAGGCCGAGAAGGCTGCAGAGGAGGCCGCTCGACTCGAGGAGCAGCGGCGAAAGGTGGAAGAGCAGAGAATGAGAGCGGAGGAGAAACGTCGAAAGAAGGAAGAGCAGAAGCGACTGGAAGAAGAAGAACGCCTTCGCAAAGAGACCGATCGACAACGCCGACTCCAGGAACAGCAAGAGAAGCGCGCGGAGCAAGAACGCAAAGCGCGCGAATCCCGCGAGAAGACTCAGAAGCTCAAGGAAGAAGCACGATTACGCGAACAGGAAATCCGAGACCAGAAGGACAAGGAGCTCCGTGAGCGCAAAGAGAAGCAGGAACAGGCCAAACGCGACAAGGAGGCCAAGGCCAAGGCTGAGAAGGAAAGCAAGGATCGCATCAAGCAGGAGGAAAAGGCTGCCCAAAAGGCTGCCACGGTTGCTGCTGCTCCTATTCCCATCCCCACCTCCGGCCGGCGACTATCGCAACACCCAGTACCGATTCCGACACATCCATCCAACCCAGCATCCTATGCGTCCCCCAAGATACCCGTTGCAACACCGGCTCTTCCCAAAGCTCCGACACCAATCCGTCCTAAGCATGCCTCTCAGCCACTGGACACCAGCTTGCCTGAATCCCAAGCTTCGCGATCAGGCTCTACTGCCAGCCAAAACCCATCGCCACACCCTGCGACACCCGGCCGCATGAGTCCTGGGCCGATTGGTTCATGGAAGACTAGCGCGGCGACCACAAGCTCGCTACCCCATCCCAATTCCATATCACCTTCGAGTATGAAAGGACCGATGCAGCCTGGCCCCTTTGGCATGCCTATGAGCATGCCTCCACCCGGCTTCAACCCGCCGCCAGGTCTGGGAAATCGTCTGCCAGACCCAAACATCTTTGGTCCGCCTGGTATTACCGGGTTTGGCAGACCTCCTCCCCCTCTAGGCATGATGGCCGTTCCGCCCGGTCTTAACGGGCCAGCTGGACGTGGCTTCATGCCCGGCCCACCTCCTGGCTTCCCACAGCCCATGGGCGACCATATGCAAAACATGGCGCCAGGACCCGGATCACATTCGAGACAACATTCCGGCAGCTTCGACCCAGCTTCATCGCCAATTCCAACACAGCCTATCGGCAGGCCAGCGCCCATTGGACGACCAGGTAGTGTGGTTCAGGGACACCGAAATGACGCATCAGACGACTTCACAAACCAACAGCATCTTGGCAGCAGCGTCCTGGTAGATGATGCATCGGACCCGATGAACGCAGCAATCAATGCGGCAAGGCACCGTAGCCAGTTGCAACGGTCAGCGTTTCCACTGCCATTCGACAATGGGTTTTCTAGCATCAACAATAGCTTGTGGGGACCCTCACCAATGTCATACACCGTGGCCCCCGGGGTGGGAAACTCGACCTGGGGAAGCCCTACTATGATGCAGCCTATGCCTCCGATCCGTACGGCGGGAAACCCTCGTTCAGTGACGATTCGGCTCATGATGTGTCGCGCCTGCAAGGAGCTGCAAGCCCGCAACCCGGAGAGCTCAGAGTCTTTTGTTGATCTAGCAGCGGTCAAGGCAGAGGTTGACCAGCTCAATAGGACTGAGTCTGTCCCTGAAGTTGATCTGTTAGCTCTCGCCGAAACAGAAGGCAACCTGCAGAATGGTGGCGGCACCTTTGAGGTCCAGTTGGATGCAAACGGCCCAGGGCAGCACTTGATGCGATGGGTACCCGAGTTCAACGACATGGCGTATCCTGCCCACAGGCCCGTAGGTGCACCAGGCGAGATCGGAAGCCCCATCATCGGCAGCGGCGCACCTGCGTTCTTGGCTAGAGGACACTAGAGTGGTCTGTCTAGTGAGAGTCCCAGGCCCGTTGCCTCATCTGAGAGCTCTGCATCCTCGACCAATGCACTTCACCGTCGTGTCATGTTCCGCGCGATGCAGAATGGATGCATCAACAGGGCCACCAGAGGCACTTCTCGCTAGAATTAGAATAGGAAGGCCAGTAAGCCAATCCGAGCCCTGAGTTGGCCTTGGTCATGATTGTTTGAAGGGGACATTTGAGTCGGTGAAGGATGGGACTCTTCTTTTTTTCTCTCAAAACTCAGTAATCGAACCCCTTCTTTGGGGTTGCCCGGATAGCTAGCGCATGGAGGGCGATTCCCTTCCAAGCGAGCATCCTCCGCATGGCTTTGTGTGCCTGTGTAGCGGCTAATAGAGACTATCTGCGTTCTTTCAGTATGCCCTCGTTCGTGGTCTTGTGGTTGTTGATTAACATGACTGTGCCGTTTGTGAACGCCATGACAACATTGCCGACTGATGAAAAAGAGAGAGATGAGCCTCGACTACTAGAAATGGCTCTGTGATCCATGCAACTTGCGAGTGAGCCACTCACTTACTCAAAGTACGCCAAAATTTAAGCTAATGTTGAACACAACCCAACCATCAAGACATCCACTCCCCACATACATCACGATGCGCGCTTTGTTATTGTGTCCCACCCTACACCCACAATGGGGATTTCCCAAAATCTTTTCTCTTCTCCCCACTTGGACACAGAACCACAAATTAGCAAATCCAGAACATGAAGCCATCCTGGACCTGAGGAATCCATCCAACCCTAGTATATACGCCGGTTGCCCGGCTAGCTCAATCGGTAGAGCGTGAGACTCTTAATCTCAAGGTTGTGGGTTCGACCCGTAAGCTACTTTCCCTATTTCTCTCATGTTCTCTAGAACATGTCACTAACAAGCACTAGCCACGTCGGGCTCAATTCCCGTCAGCGATTGACGCAACTTCTCTTTTTGATCATGTTGTCTTTGTTTTGTCTTCAATTCCATGGCTGTAATTTGTTCGAAAGGAAAACTCCTGGTCCCAACTATCGCGAAGTTCAGCAGCTTTGATTACATCTTCTTTAGGTGCCAGCCTAGAGCAAGATCTCAAAGGAAACGATCCAAGAACATATCTAGACGTTGGACGACTTCTCTGAAAGCCTGACTTACATGCGAGAACCTCCCATCGGCGCTCTAGCCAAGATGCTCCCATACTTTGAAAACCCACCAGCCGTTGGAATGAAATCCTCAACCCTCAGCCCGGCCTTTTCCTGGAAGATGCAAATGACATCCGACCCTCCAAACCGGAAACACGAAACCTCGTCCCCCTTCCTCACCACATCCCCCTCTGCGACAAACAAGTCCACAGACGATACCATGGCCATCCTGATGGGCAAGAACGCAACCTTCCCGAGCACCGGGTTCTCAATCACCACCAACCCCCTCGTCTGAAGGAACTGATACCCCGGGTTCTCGGAAGCGTCCGCCCCGCCCATCATGCGAACCTGTCCGTCGCCGACGGTATCGGCCTCGAGGTGCGCCATGCCCTGGATGTTCTTGGCTTCCAACACCGTGCCCGACACGGGCGCGTGTTGGCGGTGGTAGTTTGTGGTATTCAGGAACGCGTGCATCCAGATCCCGCCGTCAAAGTCTGCGGCGTGAGCGCTGCCCTGGAGCAGCATGCTGATCGGCCAGCGGACGTTTTTGATCTCGACGGAGCCGTACGGGGTGATTTTGGCGACGCTTTGGTTGGCGAGGGAGTTGTCATAGGTGCAGTCTGCTGGGTAGACTATCACGCTGTCGTCGTCGGGGGAGGCGATTGGCCGAAGGCCCGGTTTGAGGCGGCGGGTGAAGAAGGAGTTGAAGGTCCGGAAACCGCCTTTTGGGATTTCTGCTTCATGGAAGCGGTAGGGGGGTGAGGTTGCGAAGGATTGGAGGGAGGAAGGGGTGATGGAGGCGGGTGTGTCGAAGAATTGGCCGACGAGTTGCGCGTAGACTACGATCCAGGAGGATAGCCAGGTAAGGCCTTGCGAGTCTGGGCGGATTGGAGTCTGGAGTTTGCGGAGAGGGGGTTTGGTCTAGGACGAAGTAGAATGTGCAGAGGATGTCGTAGATGTCTTTGCCTTCGAAGCTCTCGCGGGGCACCCATTTCAGGAGGTCGTTTGCGAAGGTCAGGAACGAGTGTGCGTCTTTGATGGCTAGTTTGGACATGAAGTCTGGGTTCTTGTCGCGGGCGGAGCGAACTGCGGAGTCTAGGCCTCCTGGGCTGACTTGTTCGAGGTAGCCGATGAGCATGACGATGACTGGGTTGAAGCGGAAGTACCCATCGTTGGAGGTAGATATTTCTTGGATGGCTTTCTGGGTAATACCTGGGGCTTTGCTGTCGAGGTGAGAGATGGGAGAGATGCTGGTGACTTCGTCGGGTACGGTTGTTACGCTGAGTGACATGTTGAGTGATCGACTTGCTATATGTCAGACTGTTTTCTGTTGGATGTAATTGGAATCAAAGAATTGCTGGTAGAAAGTGGCAACATGCCAACCTTCAACCAGACTTCAAGGGGGATCTATATAAGCTTTGGTTTCGCTAGAAGCCGATCGGTAGAATGCCAATCCATCTCAACAACGGTCCGTAGCAGTGAACCCGCCAGATGGCAAGCTACCCACAATGCGGATGTCTTGCGACAGACGCGGCGTTCGTGATGGTCTTCCCTCGGAGAACTTATCTGAAGTCGTCAAGTCGGGTTCATGCACAGCTCCCCCAATCAAGTGATCCCGCCCGGGTGCATTGCCGCATCCATATGACATAGCTGAGGGACACTGTTGAGATGGAAAAGATGGGATGTTGCCCTTCTTGACGTGAACTACGAGCTTACTGCCAAACATAGACAGTTTTACGGGCCGCCCACATGACTGGGGCGTTGAGGCGTACGAGGCTCGTGTTGAGGCGCGGTTCATTCGTACGGGTTTCCGCCACTGCTGTGTATTCTTTGCCTACGAGGCAAGTTTGGCCGGTCTATCAATAATCTAAGGATGAAAATAAACCTGTTTTTGTGAAAGAATGCCTCGATATGCGAAGAGTTGGCGGCATCGTAGGATTTTGAAAGGGCATACTTGTGGTCCAGCACTGGAGCCATTCTGCCGATGCCATACTGATGACCATTAACCCAGGCATACCTCGTATTGTTACAAAGTTTAACTTGATCAGACAGATTTTGAGAACTGACAATTCTGTCTCGAAGAGTGAAAATTGGTCCTTTTGACTATGCCACATCATGACAATTCCCCTCTCGATAGCACCTGACGGCATAACTGTCGCGCTGATAGACTCAAAGTCAGCCGCACTCAGTCGAAACTGGCTGACTTTTGCCGCTATCAAGAATTGTTGGATGTTGATCTCTTGTATATTAATGGCCATTCTCGGTGCTTTATTTGTAACTGGTACAAGGAGCGTTGCTGTTCCGTGCATTTCTCGGAATTTACTGAGAAAGGTTTAGCGCGGTGATGATTGGAAACCTCACTTCCGAAAACGGAAACTGGCCGATGAGACGAAGACCTACGCTGCGCACCCAATATGTCTTACGGATTCGTCAGGGATACAACGCAGACCTTTGCTAGGTCACCAGAAAAAGGAATAACAAAGCTTGTGATATTCAGAGCGACATTTCACAGGCTAGATTGCTAGCAAACACATCGAGCATAGTGGTAAATGCTGAAGAGCATCAGTTGATATTCCAAGGGACGCGATGCTTGATCGAGCCATTTCACACAAAGAGTGCTTGCACCTTCTGCAAGCAAGAGTTGCACAGCTAACCGTCTCAAGCGTTGCCGCTCTATCATTGTGTCTTGTAAGAACTACTCTAAATGACACAAAGCTTCACTGGAACTCAAGACTAACGTACCTAGGTCGTCTTGTATCTCTTGACAGCCAGCACTTATAATGCGTATTTCCATAAACTTGCCGCGTTCCCAGGACCTCTATTAGGAAGATGCAGTCTGGTGAGTAGGCCTTAGCTGTATCTAGTTGGACTTGCAATGCTCAATTTTCTCGCCATAGATCTGGCGAATCTTTCACTCTCAGACTGGCCGCCTTCACTACGCCATCCAAGAGCAGCATCGCAAGCATGGTAGGGCTTTTCTCTCCCCCAATCCATGACAAATACTTAGTCAATTGAACGTCGGTAGGACCCGTTGTCCGAATTTCTCCCAATGAGCTCTCCTTTGCTTCAGTGGAGTCGTGGAAGGCAATCTATGGCCACCGCGCTGCAGGCGCAGCACCAGTGATCAAAAGCGAGTTTTACGATATCTATGGCGCAGGCTTCAAATCATTATGCATCGGTAGTGAGCGTGATCCTCATAAGCACGGCCAAATGCGCAAAATGCTCTCTGCTGCCTTTTCCACAAAGATGTTGCTGGACCAGGAAGATATCATTACCAAGACAGTCGACGCTTTCGTACATCGGCTTGGGGAAGATCGTTTCCGAACTGAGGGTCTCAACATGACCAAGTGGTATGAGATGATAGCCTTTGACTCCTTGGGCGAAATGGCGTTTGGCGAATCCTTTCATAGTGTCAAAGCTGGTAAGTAAATAGAAGTTGAGAGTTTCAAGCCCAAAGCTTTAGCTCGGAGATGGCCAAGCAGAACATCGTATTATTAATCACTTCGCATTATAGGAAAGCCACATAGCTGGTCGGAGATCATAGTCAGCCATCTATACTTCATCACACTGGTTGACAACCTTCGTCGTCTCCCTTTTGTGGCTACAATAGCCCGCGTGCTACTTCCGTCAACTCTTGCTGTCCAAAATCAGAACTCCCAGTATAGCCGGAAAAAGGTCGAAGAGTACGTAAAATACTAACCTCACGCTTGGGTGCATGTAGCTCATGGTTGATTGTTAACCCTGGAACTACAGACGTCTATCCAAAAAGTCAAACCGCAATGACTTTCTGTCTACCGTTGTCAAGAGTTACGAAGTGGGAGCTATCAGCAAAGAAGAGATGGCAGCCCATGTGTCAACTTTGACGTGCGTCCCCTCAGTTCAAGGTCATTTGGGAATGCTCGAGGTTTTGCTAACGATATACTCATAGAATCGCGGGTGGCGAGACGACTGCGACATTCCTTGCCGCGGCGACATACTATCTGCTCCAAAATCCAGCGTGTCTACTAAAGCTTCAAACAGAGATAACGGCAAAATTCTCTTCATTCGAAGAGATCAATGCCACTGCAGCTCGCCAGCTCCCATACTTGCAAGCCGTCATCAGCGAGGGCCTTAGGCTGTATGCACCGGGCTCTCAGGGGTTTCCGCGATTATCGCCAGGCATGAATGTCGGCGATATCTACGTCCCAGCGGGTGTAAGTAAACTTGAAGCACAATCAAAAGCATGGAGTCTAATGTGAGTGCCTATAGGCTGAGGTCTTCACGCACGCGTGGACTCTGACGCATAGCGAAGGGTATTTCTCTGACCCGAAAAGCTTCAAGCCTGAACGCTGGCTAGACGCGGGATCCACAGATGTCCGCGAGGCTAGCCAGCCATTCTCCATGGGCCCTCGGGGATGCTTAGGACAAAAGTGAGTTTTACAGCCCTTAACGCTTTGCGAACGCACCCTAGTTTACAAGCGATCCCATGCTAATACGACTATTAAGCTTCGCATACATGGAAATCAATCTCATCTTGGCCAAGATGCTGTGGCAGTACGACCTAGAGCTGGTTGACAAAGATTTAGATTGGGAACAGGAAAGCCAACTACATGTGATGTGGTGGAAACCCGCACTCATGGTCCGTTTTACGCACAGAACACCTTGATTGAAGCCAACGAGCGCCTTCACAGCCGGTAAGAATCAGCCGCGCCAGGGCTGTGAAAGGCTATAAGAGGTGCGAGAGTGAGGAAAAGTCACGATCAATATTTCATGTTCATGCACATTTAATTTTCAAATTTGCTTCATATCACGACCGACGAACCATCTTTGCAGGAATATAGTGTCAGCCTAGCAAAGCGTGGTCGGCGCTCAAGACTTTGGTCTTGGGCTAATAATTCTCGAAGACCTTTAAGCATCATGAACACAACTAAACAGTGCGAAAATTCGAAAGCTTCTCCGCGAAGCCTGATTTATAGCTGCCGGCATGTTAGAGAAACACACGGGGCTTGAGCTTCACCATCAGACGAGGCTTCTCCCACAACGTATGCATCCTTGAGTCCCGGTGCCAGTCGAGACTCTCGTCAGCGAGCTCCAAGTCGTACCTATAGACCAGCTTCGCCATAGTTGTGTGAATTTCCATCCAGCCAAGGCTGCGATGTTTGATGATTAGCACGTGCCTCAAACCACCATGTCATTATTGGGAACTCACCTTCGTCCCATGCATGATCGCGTTCCATATGAAAACGGCTGACTTGCATCGAGGTCATCCGTTGGGTTGTCCACGAGCCACCGCTCAGGTCTGAATTCCCACGGCTCGTCGAAGTTCGAAGATGACATACTTGCCGCAAAGGTACTGGTCGAAACTGTGGTCTTGGGATGAATTTTTGTAAGCTAAGAGTACCCAAGGCAAGGCAATTTAAGTACGCACCCCGCCTGGCAAGAAGTGACCATCAACCGTGCAGCCACCATTGGGCACTACACGGGGAAGGGCAAAAGGAAGCGGAGGATAGACGCGCATAGCCTCCTGCGCCACGGCTCTAAGATACTTCAATGGAGTTGCCGTCGCCGCAGTAATATCCTCGTAGCTAACAAAAGTTGACCGCACCTCATCCTGTAAGCGCGCCAGAATCGCAGGGTTCTTGAGCAGGTAGTACGTCATGCAAGAAAGAGTAGTGGCTGTCGTCTCGCTGCCGGCAATGCTGGAAAAGGATTATGAGTCCGTTTCATGGAGGAATAACGTGGGCGACTTACACAAAGTCGGAAGAGTGTGCTGCAATCTGGGCGTCCGATATTGCCGCCTCATTACGGGCCTCGATCATTTTGGTGAGGAAATCTTCTCGGTCCGACTGTGAGGCCAGGCGACTACCAGAAAAGGGCCTTAGCGTTGCAACACAAAAAGACGGCGTTTGCCCATGAGATGTTTGCAGTCAAACCTTTGAACCAAATCCATGGTGTACTTTTGATGCGTGCGACTGTCTTTGAGAAGCTTGTCAATAAGGCCAGAAAACACTGTCTGGGCAATGCCGGCGAGGGCTGGAAATCTGCGAAAGCAGTCGGCGAGAGCCCCCATACGCAAGCTTTTGGTGACGATCGAAATCCAGAAGTGCTCCTTGCCCGACTCGACACCGCCGAAGTCCTTGCCAAAAGCCAGGCTTCCAATTATATCGAAGGTGGCGAGATTGAACCACATGACCATGTCGGTTCCTTGAGTCCCCACGTCTACCATTCCAATCTTCTCAATAAGGCGGTCGACACATTCAGCGACCATCGGTTCTTGTGACTTGAGAGACCTGTCGGAAAATGCGGTACCAAGATATCTACGCATCTCTGCGTGCTTCTTGGGGTCACGCTCGCTAACGATAGACAAGGCCTCGGCGGCGAAGTTGCCCCCATCATAGAATTCACTCTTGATGAAAGGCTCAACACCCTTGCGTACACCATAGATTTCCTGCCATGACGATGCGGAACTGAAGCTTAATTCGTTTGGTGCCACGCGAACGACGGGGCCTGGTACGATCAAAGAGTCAGAGCGAGCACTCCCAGGGTAGGTGTCTGCACGTAGGTCATGCAACTTACCGTACTTTTCGTGTAGCTCAAGTTGACGATACGGCTGACGACCACTCATGAAGTTCCACGAATACAAAGCCTACATAAAAATGTGTGAGCACTTGCACGCGGCGCAGCACAATAAGATGGAGTGCTAAAACTTGCATTGCTAATTGACGCCGATTTGGGGCCCGGAAACTTTCGTAAAGGATGGAACCACCATGTTGCAACTTTGTACAGAACCACGGCGACCAACGCCTACGTGAGAGCACTTTGATTAGGGTAAAGGTTTACGGACATGGGAGCTACACAATCAGCTTACCAGGCCAGCTATTTGAGACTTCATGTTAAAATTCTCTTGAACCTCGTTGTGAAATGATCTCTAAGCTCGCAAAAGTCGACTACCCGTCCTTCCACATATTGACTGCCACGCTCAACTTCCTATTTGTAGTCCGGGCATTTCTGGTTGAGGCAGATCCCGAAGTCTCACCCCGGCCGGGATCCCCACCTCGGACTTTTACTACTTTCAGCGACGGCGAGATACTGTGCTCATCCGGTCAGCGCACGGAGGTAAGGACTAGGGTGGCTGTACTAGAACCAACTTTTGTTGCGTAAGTAGTCATCTACCTTGAACCAACAGGCATTAAACTGCATACTGAATATAATAGCACATTGTTGATCAACTTTCAATGAGACAGGACAAAAGGTGAGAGTGGCGATAAGTCCAAGTAACCGTGAATCACGTCAAACATTGTCATACTAGCGCCTGCTACTTCCTTTAATCCCTGTGTCTCCTTTGCCCAACTGTCCGCTTTGGAAGCGTACCAATTGTACCCCACTGAAGGAAACGTTCCCTAAGAGAATACTACACCGCCGTCTACGATCAAACTCTGCCCAGTCATCTGATCCGAGTCTTTTCCTGCCAGAAAACTTACCAAACCAGCGACGTCTTCAGGAGTCTGCATTTCGCCTTGATCAGTTGTCATAAGGCTTAATCGTCACGAGCCAAGACATACCTGAGGTTTTTCAGACGCAATGCGGGTCGCAACACCGTTCTCAAACGCAGCACCCTTGGGAAGTCCCATTCTAGTTGTAAGGCTAGTGTCAATGGCCTCCCACATATCGGTACGGACCATGCCCGGACAGTATGCGTTGACCGTAATGCCGTGCTGTGCCATGTCCATAGCAACAGCTTGGGTGAGCCCCCGAACAGCCCATTTACTGACGGAGTATGCTGGCGCGAATTGAGACTGCAGATTCGTCAACTTCCTTTCAGCACGTTACTAGAGTTCCGATGTGGCATACTGGTCGGTATCCTAAGATAGAACAAGCTCCGATCAACTTCCCGCCTCGACCCTGCTTGATCATCTCCTGAGCTGCATATTTATAGCACAGAAAGACTCCCCGAACATTGATCTATGTCATATCAACACGTGAAATACAGAAGTCTTGGGCTAGAAACTTACGGCCTGCACTTTATCCCATTCACTGGCACTGATTTCGAGGATCGGTTTGACGAGAATCACACCAGCGTTTGCGACCATCACCTTTGGACCCGCCCTGTTTAGCTTCGACTTTGACATCGGCGTATTGATTAATACTTACATCAATCCCTCCAAGCATCTCTGATGTGTTTCGAATCAAACTCGCGACATCGTCTTCGTTGCTGATGTCTGCAGTAAGTCAACATACCCACTTCCTGGCACCCCCCTGTTTCTGGCACCCACAAAAACGCGAAAATCCACCACAACCCAATGCCCACCCCCAACCTCCTTTTATCACAACATTTTCAATTCGCGTCCAAATGGGCTCATCTTTTGCACATGTCTTCTTCTATATATAATGCCTCAATATACCGAAGATCAGCTTCGTCAGGCTCTCGAGGA